TAATAATCAATTGATAAGTTTTTAATTAAAATCTCTGAAAATTATATCTGAAAATAGGTGCAGTGTAAGTAATTCACACGCCATCCAGGTCTAACTAATTATGAACCACGCGTTCAGTCAATAAAACCAAAGTGCATGTGATTTGCCTGATGGCTATGGGGTAGGGGTACTATGAAAAATGGATTAAACATGGGTTATCATGTATTAGTTTACATGAGACAGTATTCATAAAAAGGTGATTTGATTTTGTGAACACAAGCTGTAAAATAGTCTGTACTCGAGATACAGGCAAACATCGTCAGTTAATATAATGATAATTAAAACAAAAATAAAGTAGAAACATAAATATAATTAATCTTATTCATAAAAATTATTTTCGTTTTAAAATTAGTAAAATATAATAGATTATAATATAACTTTATTTCTGTTTTAATTATTGCTGTATTAACCAATGATGTTTGCCTGTATCCCAAATATAAACTATTTTACAGTTTATGTTTACAAATCCCCTTCTTATGAATACCGTGTCATATAGACATTCAATATGCTTATTATCACACGATATCAAGTGTTTGATATAAATTATATTCTCACGTGATATTTAAATAAAAAATTTTATTTTGAAAGTACCATATAAAATAAATCAAAGAGTTGCTTGCTTAACATTTTAGTAAATTGACAAACTTTTAATAACTAAATATTTGATTTAGTATTTCATACGGCAATATGTATGTCATATATTTAGCGCCCCTTTTGCTGGCAATTGTAGGCATATCCGAGTCCAGTGCCGAACCACTCGTTCAGCTCAATGTCTATTACGAGAGTCTTTGTCCCGATTGTAAACAATTTCTCAGCACTCAATTGATTCCCAATTACAAGAAGTTACAGTCAATTATGTCTGTAGAGTTGGTGCCCTTTGGTTGGGCTAAGGTGACCAGGGTCAACCACACTGATGGTACATTTGATGTCAACTTCACGTGCCAGCACGGGGTACAGGAGTGTATTGGCAATCAAATACACGTAAGTAAAATAGCTAGGATAAAATTGTAAAATTTTTGTATGGATTCCTAATTATCTTATGATTGCCACAGAATTGTGTCCTAAACTCGGAGTCCATCGATCGGTCACTTGAGTTGTTTGGCTGTATGTATAGCTCCAAGAATTACAGCAAACCTGCCGTCGCTGCCGAAGAGGTAACTGTGCTCTCAA